GTTGCCACTGACCTCGTCCAATCAGACAGCAGCCCAAGCCTCGTGTTCGGCCCCTTGTTCTCCCCGTTGTTTCAGCCAGTGAAGGGCCTGGTCCCTGATTGGTCCACTTCGTTGAGCTTAGCGAGGCCGATCGTCTTTATAACACACCACCCTCCCCTCATCCTCTTCTTCTCGCTCCAAGCAAGTCTTCGTCCTTCCTTTGTCCGTCTGTGTCGGCGCTCTTGTTCTTCTCTCTCCTCAAGCATCATGCTGTCCCTTCCTTTGATCCTGGCTGCTGGCAGCCTGTCCACCCTCATTGCAGGGGCCCCCGTCCCGTCCTCTCCCTTGAGCGTCCACACCCACGCCGATCGACACTCGCACTCGCTCTCCCACGCTCCCTCCGTCTCCCACCGTTCTGTCCAGAGCTACAATGTCCTCGGAGGAAACGGCAAGATCGCCGCTGGTTGGCCCGACCACGACAACTGGTGGCCCAGCTTCAGTGAAATGTACCTTGCCTCCCCTTCCCAGCCCCCATCCCTGTGTTAACCAGTGCTAATGTGATTGCAGGTTCGAAGCCAACCGCGACACCATCAGCCAGTCCTGCACCCAGTGGAACGTGGCTAACCCCTCCGACGACGAAATCGACAACATCTCCAAGGCCATCCAGGAGGTCTCCAGCTCCTCCGGCGTCGACCCCCGCTTCATCCTGGCTGTCGTCATCCAGGAGAGCAACGGCTGCGTCCGCGCCCCGACTACCAACTACGGCGTCACCAACCCCGGTCTCATGCAGTCCCACAACGGCCAGGGCTCCTGCAACAACGGCGGTGTCCAGGACCCTTGCCCGTACGATCAGATCAAGCAGATGATTCAGGACGGTACCGAGGGCACTAGCGACGGTGATGGGCTCAAGCAGTGTCTTGCCCAAGCTGGCGACGCCTCCGATGCGGCCGCTTTCTACACCGCTGCTCGTATCTACAACTCTGGCTCCGTCGCTGCCTCGGGCAATCTCGGTCAAGGTATCGCGACGCACTGCTACTCGTCTGACGTTGCGAACCGCTTGACCGGCTGGGCGACCGGCCCTAGCACCTGCGAGCCCAACGTGATCGGATCTCTTGACAAGGCTGTTACCAGCATCTTCCGCTTCACTGGCAGCCTGCTCGGTGGCTCTGAGTCTGACTCGGACAGCCCCGCTTCTAGCTCCACTGAGGCTGAGACTGCTGCGCCCACTACCGCTGCTCCTACCACCACCGAGGCTCCCGCTACCACTGAAGCTCCTACTACTGAGGCTCCTACGACTGAGGCCCCTGCCACCACTCAAGCCCCTGCTCCGACCGAGGAGCCCAGCACTACTATCACCAGCACCAGCACTAGCACCTCAACCAGCACGAGCACCAACACCGTGACCTACACCGTCACTGACTCCCCTACAAGCACCGCCGCCCCCACAAGCGCCGAAACAAGCACCAGCACCAGCACTGCCACCGAGCCCCCCGCCACCACCGCCCCGGCCGCCGCAGCAACCAGCTCGTCCTCATCCGCGCCAATCTACCCCTACGCGAGCACCTCCTGCACCCAGTACTATACCGTCACCGACGGCGACTACTGCCTGAAGGTCGAGTCCGCGGTCGGCATCTCCCTCGCCCAGCTCCGCGAGTTGAACTCCGGGCTGACGGAGGACTGCACAAATCTCTGGCTGGGCTACCAGTACTGCGTCAAGGCTTAGACAGTCTCGCTCTTCTGTTTCACGTTCCGTTTTCTCTTCTTGGCTGCGGCGCTTTGCGCTCGGCCTCGCTTCTTTTGACTTGACGGCTGTGCCACCTCATTTCATCATATGATTGTGAATTGATTGTACATATCAAAAGAGCGCTTTTCTTCTTCTTCTCTTTCATTTACGACTTCAAAACATACCCGTGATGGTGTAGCTAGTCTCGCTGTCTGACGAATTTATGCCAGGATTAAGCAAAAGCAAAGCAACTTCTGTTCCATAGTAGTCTAGTGCCAGTAGTCTAGTCTAGTTCCTGCAATCCCGACCGTTGGCGTGTTACACGAGCGCGTGGGAAATGATGTGCAGCCCAAGTTTCAGTCGGTTCCACAGCGATTAATGAAGGGTTCGATCGGCCAAGGGCGATTGATTGCACGAGTCAGCGAAAATTTGAGCAGTAGCAGGTTTAATTAGCTACAAAACTATGCAAAGTCATTCCCAACATTAGATCCATGAATCCCTCGGTATCACTATCCAAATGCGCCCAACGCCAACTCAGCAAAATAGAGTAGAAAATACATGGCTAAGCATCACCGCATCAGCTCCCCCAGCTGCTTGATCAACTCCTGGAACCGCACCGGCTTCGAGAGAAACAAGTCAAGCCCCGAGTTAAACGCCTCCTGGCGGACAGAGGCACTTCCAAGCCCCGAGAGCGCGATGATCGTCGCCGGCTTGAAGCTTGGGCTATCGCGCTGCGTCTTCTCAAACAACCGAATCTCGCGCGTCGATTCGAGGCCGTCCATGACCGGCATGGAGATGTCTAGCCTGGTGTTAGATGATACAGGAAAAAGGTTGAGAGAAACATACCCATCAGAATCACGTGGATTTCTTTCGCGTGCGCCTTGTAGACCTCGAGCGCTTCGAGACCGTTGCACGCGGTGAAATACGGAAGTTTAGCCTTTTTCATGACGGCAACCAGGAGTTGCAGGTTGACCGAATTGTCATCGACCAGCAGTACCGAGGGGACGATCCGAGAGGCTTCGAGGGTCGCTGAGATTTCGGTGACAGCGCCATCGCCCTCGTCAACGGCTGATGTCGTGATGGTGGTTACCGTTGATGTCGGGCTGACCTGGACGTCAACGTCTGTAGTTACGGCGCCATTCTGCTTTGCTAATGATTTAGGGGAGAGCGCGACAGGGAAAGCGGATTTGAGCGTCTCGATTTTCAGTTCGGTAAGACCGTTCGGGGGTTCTTTTGCGTTTGTAACACCGTTTGTGATGCCGTTTGTAACGCTGTTTGTGACGCCGTTTGTTATGCCATTCGTGGCACCATCGCTGTTGGCATAACCGTTTGCTTTGGTAGCGCCGTTGGTCAATGGCAAGCTCGGCCTCTGATTCTCCTGACGATCGACACACGCTCGGAGCGCGTTGGCCGTTTTATACGGACCGCAAGGCTGACTGATGAACTCGTAGATCGCAGGAGAAAGCCGCTCACTAGAAGTGCTGGATAGCTTTTGCGCAATCTGAGGAGTTGAGCAAATCACCAGCACAGCCGGGCGCTTGCCCTTGACCGCGCCAACCTTGCGACAGATCTCGTCGGCAGTATCCAGGTATGTTTGTCGGACGACGTAGATATCGAATGAACCTGGCTCTTCAGGAGATGCAACGCCAACCTTCATATCGAAATGATCCTGGTACATGCGCGACAGGGCCGATCGCAGTATAGTGAGCGCTTCTTCGTTGTGTTCTGACGGTGTACCAAAACCGACAAGGCCGATGGTTTTGCCGCGGACAAGATCTCGTGTCTCCGCCACGGCTCGATGGTTCTGGTTCTGGTCATTGTTCGTATCCTCAGAGTTCGGTGTCCGCGGGAGATCAACTCGGACCTTGACCTCGGTCCCGGCGCCCTTGGTAGAGGAGATATCGATCTTGCCGCCGAGGGAAATGACGGTTTGGTGGACGATGCTGAGGCCTAGACCGCTACCGGGTGAGAGAGGATTCTCTTGTGAAAAGGGCTTGAAGACGTTGCTCTGCAAATACTCCTTGTCAATACCTTGACCGGTATCCTTAACCGACAGGGTCACGCTCGCCATATCGACATTTTCATCGCGCGATAGTCTTCTTCCTTTGGTAGGTGCCGGTGTGGACGACTTGAGCGAAACCAGAATATACCCAGACTGGGTGTACTTGAGTGCATTGCCAAACAGATTCATCAGGACGCGACGCCATGCTCCAGCTTGCGTCTCAAACAACCACAGGATATCAGGGGCCACGTCGTAAATGATTGTGAGAGACTCGTTGAAAGCTGAAAGCGGGCGTTCGGTCGGACTGGCCATGATTAATTCGCCCTCCTGATCCAGTGTTGGCATGGACGCCTGCGCCAGGGTGCGGTTCTTGGAGCTAAAGCAATGACCAGCAAAGACACTCTCAGCAACCTCCTCCAAAACGGCATCCAACTGCACATCCGAGATAAGGTTGACGACTCCGTTCGTCTTCCCCGGCTTAAGCGACCGTTGCAGACGTCGTTGAGGTGGCGAGAGCTTGAACCGCGACGAGCGAGACTTTCGCGCAAACTGGTTGATCTTTGCAAAATCAAGCATGTTGTTAATGATGTCCAGCAACGAGCGTCCGCAATGCTCGACAGTGTTGACCAGCGCCGTCTGCGCAGGCGTCAAGTCCGAGTCAGTGAGCAACTCGGTGCTACCTAGGATACCGTGGAGAGGGCTGCGCAGTTCATGCGAGATGCTGCCGACAAGAGTGGCGTGAGCGCGGTTCGCCAGTTCGATATCGAGGCGATGAATCTCGGCCATGATGCTGTTTGAGAAAGCATAGAGGTACGCCAGCTCGCCTCCGAGACTGAAGCTGCGCGGCGATTTGGTCCAGAGGAACAGGCCCGAAAACCACCGATTGCGCCGGGAATCCCAGAGTGGGAAGAGCGTGATGCAGCGAGCGGACGGGAAAATCTTCAATAACCATTTGTTCTCCTCTTTCAGCGTTAGCCGATGACGTTTCTGCTGCTTCCATCGCCGCTGGACCTTGGGGGCTTCGTGGCGGCGGTACATGATCTCTCGCGAGACGCTGGTTCCCGAAGAGCTGTCGCTTCCTTCACTTGAAGATATGCTTCCGTTTTCATCAACATTGAATATCGCACCCTGGGGGTAGTTGCGCAGTAGAGACCGAAGGAACGTCTCTCGCATCGCGCCCATCGGCTGCTCTGGGTCTTCAAGCGAGTACCCCAGCACGTCGGACGTGGAAAAGTCATCGGTATCAGTTGTCGAGTGTCCGGTGGCCGGGTTATCGCTGTCGCTGGCACTGGCTTCGGGTGCTTCGCTGGAACCACTGCTGCTTTCGCCATCGGAGGGTCGGTCGTCGGTGTTGCGGACTAGTCCAGCGTAGGACTTGACGCTGGCGTCGTAAAATGCCACCCCTTGAACATCGAGCGATTGCTGGAGGATGCGGGCGGCACGGCCGAAGATCTCGCGAGTGCCAGAAGTCAGGGTCACTTCGTTCTCGCGCTTGCGTTTGGGGGTGGACGGGGCGTAGGGTGGTGTCAGCTCCTTGGATTCGGACGGAGCTGGGGACTTTTCTCTGGTAATGCGATCCTTTACCGCGAGTTCCGACCGAGGCTGAGAATGACGAGAGAGCAGGGCGCTATTCCGCAGCGGTTCTTCCTTGTCCTCAGCCTCCTCATTGTCAACCTCGACATTGAGACGGCTCTTGCGGCGGATACTGCTGGACGGAAAGATCCCTCCCTCGACAAAGTTACCCAGTCCAGCAATCATGTTTGCCCCGCGCCGGTTCTGTTCGTGCGATCGCACCATCTCAAGATGGTTCATGATGGCGGCCGCAGTGTCGGCCATGAAGCGGACCTCCAGCGGGGAGAGTCCGCCCGGTCGCGTCTTCCCATCACTGACACTAAACGCTCCGATGGCAATACCCCGGCGGCTGCGGATGGGGACACCGGCAAAGAACCTCAAATGGGGCGCCTTGACAACGTACTGTCGCTGATTGAAGCGATCGTCCTTGGTCAGATCGGGGACGACAAAGGCGCACGGCGCGTCAGTCTCGCACTGCCTGGCGTTGAGAACCGAGTCCTGACAGCAGAAGTGACAGATTCCATCCTCCTTGCGAATAACACTGCTTCCCAGCCACAGGGCATCGCCGTCGAGGTGGACGCGGTCATCTTGTAGGCTGAGAGTTCGGGTGGCCTCGGTCAGGATGTACTGGGTGCGACGGTCGAAGAGCGAGATCATGCATCGTTGGACATTGAGACGGAGGGCACCCAGCTGAGCGAGGGCTGTGAGGGTGGTATCCTGCGACGACTGGGGGAGGAGCTCGACGTTGGCTTCGGTGCGAGGAGAGACCGGGGGACGATCGAGGAGGCCAGGGCGCTGGGGGAGCTGGCAGTATCTGGCTAGTCAGCATCTCGATAGTAGATGAGATGAGAAGGCTTACTTGTAGAACTCGCGCTCCTGGGCCATCTCGTCAACGAGTGCTCATAGTGCAGGGAGAGATCGGATCGACAGAGGCAGGAATAGGAATAGGAAGAGGAGAGGCAGAGGCAGACACCGCCCGAGTCCCCCACCCGCACCACTGCGCTAGCCGAGCCACTGCGTCATACCGCACGCTGCTGGACTGTCTGATAGGTTGGCCCCGTCTGCCCTGCCAACTCCGCCAACTCCAGGCCAACTTTCCGACTTGCGCTGCGTGCCTGGCTGGGCCCAGACTTTTCTCTCGCCCGCCCGAGTTTCTCCCACTTTCGAGAACCGCTCCAGCATCACTGCATCAGGGAATCCTTCAGGTCCCGTGGCATCGGCATCCAGACTTGAGTTCATTCAGGAATATCTCAACTTCTCAAGTCATCAGGCCTTCACACTGTCAGGTGTTTCTCCACAGCTGTCACGGGGATCATCGCATGCAGAAGGCCCAGCCGCGCCAGTGGGGAGCGAGTGCGACACCTAACCGACGACCGTTACTGTCTGTTGTAGGGATGGACAAAATGGCTGACGGTAATTACGGAAAGTTGAAATTTAAGGATTTTTTCGGTAAGGAATGATTCCTGACGAAAGAATA